ATAATAAAAAGACTTGAAAAAGTTTGGGGATCCCCTTCTGAACAGGGAAACTCACCCGTGAGAGTGTGGAGGGGGGAGGAGACACAGGATTGTAGCTTACTTGAATTATTATTATTTTTTAAACTTTCACTGCTTACTGACTCAAATCAGCTTAATATAACAAAACGCCTTAGTTTATATTTAAAACGTATGAAAAAGAACTATGCAGGACTGTAAAAGCTCAATGCAAAAGTACAAGTTTGTCGCTTGGCTTTCAAACCTCTTCTCAACGTGTCGGAGCATTTCTGATTGTTAGTTTTTGACACTCCTTGTTTTCCGATGGGTGTCCAAAGAGCAAAGTCAAGTTTAATCTAAAGGAGATTCATATCAGAACCACGCAGAAGTGGGAAAACCCACTGGGTTTTGGTTTCCAGTTTTGAGAATAAAATCAAAATATTGAGAATAATGCACAAAAAAATTGCGAAGTGGCAAATATTGACAATTTTTTTTATTAATTACACATATGATTTTGCCCAAACCTAAAGCCTATAATAGGTTTTTGAATAATTTTTAATCTATTTTTTTATCATTTTGACTTCATTTTTTAAATAGTATTTAGACTTTGTTTACTTAATTGTGACATTTAAACTTTATTTTCCWGATTTAGATTTTGACCTTGAAACTAAGAAAAGAAATGTGACTTTCTGTTCTGAGTGGCCCCTGCTGTCAGAAAAAAGTGATTTAATCACGTATTTGTAAACTTTAGTATGCTGCCAGTCACCATCTTTGAAACTAGACATTGGCTTCACTTTTCAGACATGGAGGCCAGATCAAATCTTTAAAATAAACAGTGTTATCTAGATGAAGTGGTGTGATCACTTTACTTAAACCATGCTGCCTTTTGGTCAAGTCTTTTTTTTGGGGGGGGGTCATTTTGACCAAAGGACAGCAGGAAGTTTAAGTGAGCTTCTTGAAGCAAAGCAGCAGAATTTACCTTAAAATGTCCCTTAAATAAAAGCTACAATAAGTCTTTGCTGTTTAGTTGATTGAAATCTTGAAGTTTGTAGCTTTTAGTGGCTGCTTTGATAAAAATTAAACCTCTCTGAAAAACTGAACTTGACTTTGCTTTCTGTGAACACTGGTAGCGAAACCCTTCCTCAGCTGAATACCTCCGTTTATAAAACTGTTCTTCCCGAGTCTGTCTGCTGAGCTGTTCCCTGTGTGTGTGTGTGTGTGTGTGTGTGTCTGACCGGCTGCACAGAGAAAGAAGCCAAAGATTGTTTTTGTCTTGTAGCTCCTAGTGGTGGGGTGCTGCTGGTCTGAGTGGACTCGTGTTCATCCTGACATTTCTAACCCCTGAGTGTCGGCGTGAAGTCATGTGACCRGAGCAGTGGGTGACATCTTTTAAATTGTGCTTTGACTGGTTTCTGGAGGATTAAAAGAATGACATTTCGTGGTTTTCTGGTTACCTAATTCGGTCTTTTTGTAGATTTATTTTTGTGTGTCTGTTATTAAATTAAAACAGGTGGTTTTCACGACGACTTGTGACTTTTTCTTCCTTTGTCTCAGTGAACTGTCTTTAATGTGACAAAATTACAACTCAGGCTGAAAGTCGACACGTCTAAGATGAGCCATGAAAATCCAAACCAGCGTCAAGAGTTACGATGAATATGCTTTATTTTCCTTTTACAAAAACAAACAGTAAAAGGGGGGAAATTACTATCTAGAAATACAAATATACAAGAAGTAACATAATGAGAGTATTTGCAGTAGAATGCCTGGTTGTCAACAGCCAGATGAATAATAATAATAAAGAAAAAAGAGTCAGCTTGTTGTGGATGTTAAAGCTTCCAACCACATTCAACCCTGTGCAGAGCCTCCGTTCCCAGACGGACTGAAGTTCTCACCAGAAAAACATCTTAGAAGCTGCTGCAGCCTGTCACGGTAATTAATACTGAAACTGACCCAACATTCGAGCAAAGACAAAACAAAAATACAAAAGAATAAAACCCAAATCTCAAACATTTTATTAATGCACCTGTTATTTTTTTGTTTTCCACATCTAATGAATCCTCACCTGCTTTTGTTCTTATCTAGTGTCTAAGGCACCTTTTAAAGTTTAAATTTAAAGAGTAGGGCAGCGATGTTTGAGTAGAAGAAACGACTCCAGTTTAAAAACTTAGCTGCTGACATGAAAGAACAGCTGAGTCTAACAAAACAGTTCAAGATGAGGGGAAAAAAGGTTAAAGTTCTGCAGGAGATGGGATTTAACTTGCAAAATAAAATAATGGCACAGAGTACATTCGAGTCATGCAGCTAAAAGTTTAGATTTAGAAAACGGTGCGTTTATCATTCCTGAAATCAGCTAAAACTCATAACTGAGGCCTCAAAGGCAGCAGGGAGGTTAAATTAAAGTTTTGGATGCTTTTAATTTTTAATGTTTTCTAACTTGTCAGAAATCACTGAAAGGGAAAGTTTTAATGTAGGCAGAATAATAAACCAGAAAACTGGGATCTAATATAAATACAAATCAGATAATTGTTTTAAAGATCACCAAACTTCAATCAGCAAGTTTAACTGTTTCAACAACCCCCCTCAGAGCAGCAGAGATTAAAACTGATAAAGTGAGGCTAAGAACAAGAGTTTTCATTTCTAATCAGATCATCCAGTTAGTGTCACATTGAGATGAAGTGCTTTCCAGTTAGAGCTTTTAATCCTTCATGTTTCTGTTCATCTTCTCAGCTCACTTCAGTAAATCTAAAAACCGTCACAAGCTTCAGGATCGCAGCAGAAACAGAGCCACACCTTCCTTCATTAAATGAGATGAGGCAAAGTTGAAAATAAAATACCTTCCTTTGTTTCACAGTAACACACTTTCCAGTTCTGAGTCCATCAATTTTCTGTCGCATGTCCCGAGGAGTTTACGTGTTGTGTTGGTAAAAAGTAAAAGATGAAGAAACAGCTGCTGTCCGACTGTTTAACACCTCTGAACTCTGAAGTGTCGACTAGCACAAAAACAAACCATCTAGTCCTCGTGGTCCTGCATCGTGACGATGAGTTTCACACCTGCACACTCGGATAAATGTTTACATGACGACACGTGGCTGATCAGACCAACCAGGCTAGAAGCTCACCAGAGGACAGTAAGGCAGACGTGTCTCTGTGGGACCAGGGGGGCGGGGCTTCCCTGCAGTGATAAATACCAAAAACCACGGCAGAGGTGACAAACGTTTGTAACGGCTCCAAGCTTCTGAGCGGTCGGTGGGTTAACGTGACGGGTGGGGGGCCTCGGTGCGGGGGTGCTGAGGAGGAAGCAGGTGGGCGTCGCTGTGTTCACTCCACGTTAGAGGTCTGGGTGTCGTTGAAGTCGTTGGCGCGGCTCTCAGCGTCGTCGTCAGACATGTCCACGGAGGCTCCGTCCAGGTTGAGGTTGCGGCGGCCTGAGCGGCTGGAAGAGAAGCTGCTGACTGGACCGCCACGCCTGCATCAAGCAAACACAAACACACACACACACACACACACACACAAAACAAAAAAACAGGTCAAATTTCATTTAACCCTCCCAAACTCTATTAACCCTCTAAAATGACCTGCCTAGGATGGATAATGTGTTCAAGAAAGATTTGATGGTTACTTTATTATTTTACTTTATTTAATTTATTTATTTATTTTTTGTTTTGTTACGTAAGGATTATTATTGTTTGAATTTATTTGATGGAGAAAAGGCACAGATATAAGATTTTTCTTCTTTCTGCTGCCTTTCATTTCATTTTATTAGTCATTTGTATTTTATTTTATTATTATTTTTTAATAAAATGAATGAATGAATTTCCTGTCCCCCAACCTATCCGGTCGAGGCCCGCCTGCTCTGAGCCTGGTTCTGCTGGAGGTTTCTTCCTGATTAGCAGGGAGTTTTTCCTCTCCACCGTTTGCTCAGGATGGGAGACTGTGATGAAGTGATTCAATCTTTTTATGTACAGTGTCCTGAGACAACGTATGTTGTGACTTGGTGCTGTATAAATAAACTGAATTGAATTGAATTGAAACCCTGTGTTTTTCTAATAACCAATCAGAGCAGCAGATACTGATCATCTCCACCTGAGGCGGTTCTTGAGCGAGTTGACCTCTCTGGTGAGACCCTCGATGGCTTCGGTGGCGTCGTCCAGCTCCCTCTGCAGCTTCCTGCGGGAGGCGTTGGCTCTGGTGGCCTCCTCCTCCGCCTCCTCCAGCTGACGCTTCAGCTGCTTCATGCGGGAGTTGGCTTTCTCCAGCTGAGAAGACAGCAGACGTGAGAAAACAGGTGGAGACCAGACGAGGGGAGGCGTGGTCAGACCTGTCCTCACCTGCTCCTTGTACTGGTCGGCGTGGCGCCGCTCGTCCTCCACCTGCAGCATCACCTCCTTCAGCTTCTTCTCTGTACGGCGGACGATTTTGTTGGCTCCTGCTCTCTCCCTGCAGGTTGCAGACAGGAATCGGTCAGATCAGTTTACAAAACGCTGTCTACCAACAAAAAGAAACCTACTTTGCTTCCTGCTCCAGCTGCTCCTCCAGCTGAAGGATCTTAGCCTCCAGCGCAGTGATGGATGCCTTGAACTTAGACTTGACGGCTCCTTCCAACTCTGCCAGCTTCGCTTTTAGCTCCTGCGTTTAAGATTCAAAACTTCAGTTCATTTAAAAGCATATTTTATCTGTTGAATATTTCTACTTAGTTTTGTTGTTCATCTGATGCTATTTTTTTATTCAGTTTTTCAAAGAAAATACAAAAGCTGTGTTTGATTCAACAGCTTGTAGAACCGACTTCAAACAATCATCTTCTGTATGACTGGGTGTTACAGAGCCGGCGAAAGGACACAGGGGATTTTTTTTTCTTTTGCATTCCCTTAGCAAATAGTATACTTGAAGTTCATTTTAATAAGTATACTTGAGTATAAGTTTAAGTATGTCAAGTATACTAGGCACTATGTACTTTTAAGTTTATAAACTTAACCGTGTTTGAGGATGTTGTACCGTTCAGCCTACAGTATCACGGGGCTCCAGAGTTGTTTGGAGGTTTTTGTGCTCATACGTTGTTTAGTTTTCAAACATGAGAGAAGATGTATTTAAACTAAAGACCTTGTTCTGTCGCTCCATGTGCTGCCGGGCGTTCTCGCTCTTCTGTGMGACGCTGCGTTCTCCTGCCAACTCTGCGTTCAGGCTGTCGACCTGAGGAGGAGGAGGAGGAGGACGGGGGAGAAAAGAATAAAAACATAAAAGAACATTTGTTTAAAGTGAGGACACCTAAAGGAATGACTGGACGGTGGTTTGGTGTGATGGTTTAACTCAGTCCACCTGGATGCTCGTCTTCTTGAAGCGGTCGTTCAGCAGCTCCATGTTGCCCTGCTCCTCCTCCAGCTCCTCCTCCAGCTGAGCGATACGAGCCTCAAGCCTCCTCTTCTCCTCCAACAGTGACGACCTAACACACACACACACACACACACACACACACACACACACACACACACACACACACACACACACACACGTCATTTTCTCAGTCTGCTTTATCTCGTGTTCTCTCTGTGATCTCATAGCTGCACTGACTTTCCAGCAGCACTGTTGGAGATCTCGTCGGCCAGCTCGTCCCTCTCCTGTTCAGCATGTCGTCGGGCTCTCTCGGAAGCTGCGTGGTCCTACACACACACGCGGTCAGTCAGCCTTCATACCTCACACACACATTAGTAGACTGGTGGTAAATAAAAGTCAGCCTGCGTTCACCTCCTGAAGCTGCAGGATTTCAGCTTCCAGGCTCTTAAATTTCTTTTCGTTCTCCTTGGACTGGGTGAAGATCTCGTCTCTGGCAGCTCTGGCCTCCTCCAGCTCCCTCTGATAGTCCTTCATCTGCGCCTGCAGAAGCAACGGGGTCACGCAGAACAAGTTCACTAAGCTAGCAGAAATGTTTTTTTTTTGTTTTTCAGTAATAATTAATTAAAAATGGTGGTTTGATTTCTGGCACATTTAGACACAAAGGTGTTACCTGGAGTTTTTTCAGCTGTTTGATGGCTTCATCCCTGCCTTTGTTGGCAGCTTCTATCTGACCCTCCAGCTCGTTCAGGTCCATCTCCAGCTTCTTCTTGGCGGCAATGGCCAGAGTTCTCTGCTTCCTCTCGTCCTCCAGCTCGGCCTCCATCTCGCGTACCTGCAGTACAAAAACAAACGTCTCCCATTTCAAACTCGGGCATCTTGATATTTCATTTTTAGTATTTGAGGCTTTATGAACCTGCTTGACGAGCGCCCTCTTCTTCTCCTCTCCCTGCTCGTCTCTGGTCTGCAGGTCTCGGTCGAACTGGGCCTTCATGGCCTGCATGTTGACCTCCAGGCGCAGTTTGGCATCCTCTGTGGCCTGCAGCTCGTCCTCCAGCTCCTCCAGCTGAACCCTCATCTCTGCCACCTGCTGCTCCAGGGTGCGCTTGGACTTCTCCAGCTCATGGACCTGAGATATGTGAGACAGTTCAGCTGTGGCGTGAGCTCTTATTTGTAGGTTTAAACAGATTTATTAGACGTGCGTCTGTAGGTTAAAGCAGAGATTCTTAACCTGTAGGCCGCGAGCGCCACCTGGAGGGCCTCAAAAGAACAACAGTTTTTAACTTCGGGCTGCAGAGGGCCGCCGGACCACATCGATTTTGAATCAGATGCAATACACTTTCTCACCACTAGTAGCAGTAGTGCGCCACTCATATGTTTAACAACTTTTAATAAGTAGAAGAAGAACCTTAGAAACCTGCCGTAAGTGGAAATCTATTTTAAATGAAAAGTAGAAGCAGTAATGAAGGCAACCCGTCAAAAAAGGCCAAAGTCTGTCACTATTATGAAGTGCAGCTTCTGGTTCTACCATGCAATATTTTAAAAGTTCAAAACATTATCAAAAACATTTGCAGATACAACTATATTTTCATTTGCACTTTATCAAATAATTTTTTGTAGTTTAATTTTAAACATTTTTAATGTATTTTAAAGAAACTTTAAACTTGTCAAAAAGCTGTTGTTACTGTTATTGTTTGTCACTAACATGAAGAGCAGCTTCTAGTTCTATCATGCAATAAATTTAAAGTGTATCTTACCCCCCTGTGAAAAGATAACTCCGCCCCAAGGCGAAATTTGAAAAATGCATCAAAG